TTTTTTTTGCGATTAGTCGCATTATGTGCAAAGTTCAATAATGAATTCAAAGTAGTGTATTGCGCACTTTTATTTTAAAAGTACTGCTATATGAACAAAAGTGCAATAACATTTGGTTTGCAAACACTTTAAACAAATAAGGTGATTTTTAACAGCAGTATTCTCTTTACACAGTAGCAGTTATAATACAGTTATAATGATTCTGATAATAGATATTCAGCCAGTGTTCACAACTTTATCTTCATGTGTGTAATAGATGCAATTTGAAATATACTTCTTGAAAACTGCAAACCTATCTACGTCATGTTTTTTATGTTTGTTAAATTCTCAGTAGCGATAACTAAATTATATGCTTATTATATGCTGGTTCAGGTTGATAGTTAGGGCTGGTTCAGGTTTATAGTTATACATATTTCAAACAAAAACACTTTAAAAACTCTAAAACAATAATTTAAATGAATCATTTCTTTTTTTGCTTTTTTTAGTATTTTGGTCAGACACATATGCAACGCTGATTACCATAATACGTGTGGTATTTGTTATGTACGTTGTTACATAGAGGGTGATAAGAAGCTGTACATTGAGGGACTTAGGACCCAGGGGAATGTAGGTGAAGCATGGAACCTGTAGTCTGTACCGTGGCAGTAACGTGCATGAGGAAGTTATGCCAATAAAGAGTTGCAGTTAAGAGCAGTTTGTTCTCACATGCTTATATGTTTATTTAAAAACACAACAATATGTATTTTGATATTGTCACATTTGATCCTGTGACAAGACGATCGCGCGCATGTGTGTGAGACAGGAGGGACTTACGGTTCTGGATCTGGCATGTCACCCGGGGGGGGCAGCAGGAAGTAACGCCACACAAACAGCTGTTCACTAGCTGCCTGGTTCTTGTGCTAAAAACTGCGTTAACGCGCGATAATATAATTGTCAGTGCAAATTAATTAATGCGTTAACGCGTTAACTTGCCCAGCACTAATTTAAACATTAGTTGTTTCTCCTTTTAATCCACATTTCAAAGAGAGCATCCTCGATGACTCGAATGTATTATTTAGTTGATGAATGAAACAAGTGTGATGGAGAGACTAGAAAAGAGAGACACAAGTCAGTGGTGGGCTGTCAGGGCCTGCAAGGCCTTCTCTGCTGACCTAGACAGAATCACAAAGTTATAGCTATTTTATAATTTAATTATTTTTCATTAATACACTACATGTATTATAAAATCTGAAACGGACCCAAAATGTTCCTGAAACTTAAACGTTGACTTGATGAAAACTGTGCTATCAAAATGTCCATTTGGCTCAATAAAGTGCAGCGTTTTGTCTACATTTTAAACTTTGAATCATGTTTCTACGTTAAAGTATGGCTAGTCTCTAACCCACCCAGTCCCACCCTTTCAAAATAAAAGCCCCACAAATACAAGATTCAATCCAAGAGTATGAATCTAAAATGCGGAAAAGAGAGTAGCGCTATCTCAATTGAACCTGAACGACACTACCGGTAACACTGGCGTGTATATGTATTGCGACGTCTTCGGGCAGTAGAAGCCGCACTGTCAAAATTTCCTGCGAAATTTTCTAGTTATTATTATTATTAAGCCCGATGGATTATATACAGTGTGCTTTGGCACAGGCAGTTTTACTGCCTTTGTCCTACAAAGCCACACTGAATAATAGTAATATTGATTGAAAAAAAGCAACTAGCTTTCAGCTCGAGTTGAACAGCTGTTCAACTCGAGCTGAAATACTGATTAATAACTGAATAAAAAATTTGTTTTTTGCTTAAAGTAAATGTCTTATCACTTAATTTTCTTCTCAGAGTACACCAGAATGCTACATTTTAAATCTCCCAGGGGAGCATGCCCCGCACCCCCCGACAGGGTTTCGGGTTCGGGTGCTTGTCACCTTTTTCACCTCTTATGAGTTTGCAGGTATGACATACACACTTAGTCTGGTTTCAGGGGTCTGATTTCTCTTTTCATTGTCAGATCCAGCTTAAGTCCATATTATATGTACATCTGACCTGTAGTGTATTAATGGACCTCCTTCTGTTTATCTGCTCTGTATATTTCCACCAGTGGTGGGCCGTCATTATAATAATTTATAATTTAATTATTTTTCATAAATACACATATTCTATTTTTTTTTCTCATTAGCTTATTTTCTCATTGCATGGCTACTGTCTTCATCAGTTGCTCTGCTTCTAGCCTGCAGCGCTGCTTCCAGTGCAGCTTGTTTTAAGTAGAGCTTTTATCCAATCAGATTTCACCTCTATTTCTTAATAGGGGTGAAATTGTAAAAAGGGTTGAAAATAGGCTATGTTTTTATAATTCTCTGTAAATCATAGAGGAGGCTAGACTTGATCTATATGGAAAGTGTCTTGGTATAACTTCTGTAATATTTTCATTAATCAACGACTATGTGAATGTGTGTGAGAATGCTTGTCAGTCCTGATAGTCTGGAGACCTGGTCCAGGTCCTGGTACTAACAAGTGACACACTCTTACTTTTTATTTCACGGTCTTAAAGCTGTTCATTTATTTCTTTTGAACGTAATACCTGATTATGTTCCGTTTGTTTGCTAATGTTTTGTTTTAACAACAGTACAATTAAATAAAATGACCTCTCAGTTCTCAGCAATGACCCTGGTGGCCGATGGGCGGCGCTGCAGCCTGCATGACCGGAAGTGGATCCGTCTATGTTTCCGGTTCTCTCTCTCTCTCTCTCTCTCTCTCTCTCTCTCTCTCTTTGTTATTTTCTAGCCGCTCCGATGTACCGAGCGCCGGTCAGACCTCAGCGGAGTCCCGGAGCTCCGCGGCCGACTGAACGGTACCCCTCCCCGGCCTCCTGCTGGGGCTTCCCTGGGGCTCGCTCACCCTACGGAGGGTCTGCGCGGGGCGGCCCCGCTTACTCCCCGGACTCTCCGGTCCAGTCGACGGGTTTTAACCGAGGATACAGGGACGGTTATCCATCCGGGTTCGGTAGTGGACCCCGGGGGTTTGGAGACTCTCCATCCGGGTTCGGTAGTGGACCCCGGGGGTTCGGAGGACAGAGGCGGCCCAGAGGTGGTTTCCGGTGGGCTCAGTCCTTCAGTCCCTCAGCTCACAACGTCCGGGTAAAGTTTCATGTGATTTAACGGGAGAACCGAAGCACGTGTTTTATTTAAAAGTTGTGAAAATCCTCGATGTGTAAGTAAGACATATATATATATATATATATATATATATATATATATATATATATATATATATATATATA